AGTGGATCACTTCAGTCTTTATTCTCAGAATGGGACAATCCAGTATTTGCCCGTTATCCAGAGGTGGGTCTATGGCAATTTTTCTTTGCCTGTTACTTTAAAATTAGAATTTCAATCCAGGCCCAGTGGCACGTGCCTGTAGTCCCAGCCACTTGAGTATTACTTGGAACTCTGGAGTTTGAGGCCACAGTGTGCTAAGATTGTGCCTGAATAGCCACTGCACTCTAGCCTGGGCAACATAGTGAGTTCCTGTCTCTTAAAAAATAAGTAACTAAGTAAAAATAAAAATAAAATTTCAATTTCATTTTAAGCTGGATATGGGCATGAATGACTATTCTAATTTGTAATTATGGATGGCAACTGGGCATATTTCTGAATAATTTATTTGGAAATTAATGTTTAATATGGAGAGGAAGAATCAAATTCTTAGCATTTTGGAAGCTCAGGCATTTTGGATTAAACATGTATAATCAACGTGTGAATAGTGAATGCGTTTACCACTCTTAGAAACCCTGATTTGCGGCTTTGGCAAAGTATTCAAGGTGGTGATAATAAAACTATTATCATTAGATAAAGTAGTGAATCTCCTACTGGAGGAACAGTTAGTCATTGGACCTGGGTGCATGTTCTCTCCTCGTGTATTGTCACAGAATGTACTGTGTGTGTTGTAATGAGGGTGTATAAAAGGTGAGCATTTGAGTACTGAGTCTTCAGTTACAATGTGTTTTAGGACTTGATCATGGAGCATAGAGAAATGGTTGTTCTGAAACCATATTGGCTTTTGACATTAATTATGATTATAAACAAAAATTGTTGTTTAAGACTCATTATTCATTAGAGCCTTTTGAATTTCTGTAAGTTCCCCGAATTCAACGCATCACCTGTAGTAGATTATATGAAAATGGATATTTTTAAAGCACTTTGAGGTCTTTTGTCAAACAGTTCTGCAGACATAAAAAATTAAAATTTAAATGATGTTTTTGCTGGGTCTTTCTAGGTTGCCGTTGATGTAAGCAGTGGCCAGGCTGAGAGCTTAGCAGTTAAAATTCACAACATCTTGTTTCCCTATCGTTTCACCAAAGAAATGATTCATTCGATGCAGGTAAAAGATTGACTTTGAAATCTTATAAACATATATATATATGGCCTAAGCTATACCAACTCATCTAAAGTTGGATTTACTTAATGATATAGACCAACTTGATCAAGGCATGTGTGTGTTTTAAATCTTACTAGAACTTTTATCATCAGTAGAAAAAGCAAGGGATTAATTATAATTACAAAGAAAGAAATGTCTGTAGTAATGTGAGCAGGTTTAGAGGGAATGAATTATGGATTCAGGCTCACAGTTTAGAGGATTATATATTGACTTTATATTTGACAATAATTTGTAAATCAAAGTGCTTTAGTGATATTGTCCTTAAAAGTACAACAATGCCCTTTTTAAAATGGCCCTCTATCCTGTGAGGCTACAAATGTCTAGGAAAGCCCAGACTGAGGCGTTCCATTAAAAAAAGGGACCCCCATCTCATCTTTGCGTTTTGTTCACCACTTTGGCTGCCTTAGTCTCCTTGTTTTCACTATGGAAACAAATTAGGAGGTTAGACAGATGTAGGTAAATGCCTCACCTGGCATTGACCTGGTACCAGAGCAAGTAAGCAGTTGATCCAGACATAGCCCAGGGCAGTGGTATGGATGAGGGGTGGGGGGAGCCTCGTGCACCTGGGTAGAAGAGGCGCTACCAAGCTCTAAGGCCACCAGTGGCTTTTAATTTACTGCCTTAATGGACTAGCTCCTCTAAAATGGTTTTTCTTGCTTTTGCAGAAAATTTTAAAATTTATTTCAACCCTGTTTGTTAGCAGTCTCTGCTCATAATACCTGTTATCAAGAGTGAGTCACTCAGTTAGGAACATCTGGGCTCTGCTCTAAAGCATTGTTAGCACCTCTCTGCACGTCCATTCTTCCTACCTTCCTGATGACTCCTGGGGTTCCTCCGCACCTCAGCTCAGTCTCAGATAGGAATGTTCTAACGCAGACAACTCTAAAGAGAGTACAGTTTGTCTCTTTCTGTGCAGATAAGCCTTTGTTAGTTTTTATTAAGTGCTCTACCACTTATTTGAATACATGGCAGGTTCTCCAGCAAGTTGACAACAAGTTTATTGCCTGCTTGATGAGCACGAAGACCGAAGAGAGTGGCAAGGCAGGTAGGAATGGACTTTAGCCTTGATTACTAACCAGCCGGTCTTCTGATAAGCTTCTTTTAAGGTTATTTTTGGTATAAAATACAGTTTCAGTAATTTGTACAGATTAGATAAAGCCAGTCTAAGCTAAGAATATTATGAAGCAACAGTTTTTAAAGTACATTTAATTTTATGTACATACACACATACATACACATAAGATACACACCTAAGATGACTAAGTAGTTACCTTGGGAGTGAAAGTGGGGGTGGGCAAAGGGAGAATTTCATCTTTTACTCTTTAAAATATTTTATAATGTGTGGCTTTCAAATAATGTTTTGTTTCCGTTTATAATAGAAAATTTATATAATGAACTCTGCTAGGTTTATCAAGAGTTACATAGAATCTCTTGGTGACATGCTTTAATGAAACAGTAATAGTTTGTAAATAACATTAACTCATTCAAGAGATATGGATTGAGTGCCTGTTGTATGCCCAGGATAGTAGCAGGCCCTAGGGATACAATGCTGGGAAAAGATATACATGCAAGAGAAACAGGTAATTACACAAACATATACAATTTTAACTGTAGCTCATCTTATGGTGGAAGGAAACAAGATGCTGCAGGAGCCTGTATTGGGAGATTTGATTTCGTCAGGGAGTTCAGGAAAGTGTTTCTTGGTAAAGTGAGGTCTGGAGTGTGAATATGAATTAACTAGGCATAGAAGGGAGGGAATAACATACGCAGCTTGTGATTTCCTCTTCTCAGTGAGCAGAAGCAGGGCAAGGACAACTGGAGACGAGGATAAAACATTAGGTAGGAGCTACATCTTGAAATGCCAGTTAATACCAGTGGGAAACAATTGGCAACTTTTTGTTTTCTGATGTTGTTTTGGTGGTGGACATGTCATATCACATTTGCATTTTGAAAAGATTGTTCTGGTTGCAGCATAGAGAATGGATTAGAAGTAGGAGGAGTGGAGTTCCAGTAACTGCATAGAGACTGTTAGAAAGGTATTTCAATATCTAAGAAATGATGGGCCAGGCGCGGTGGCTCATGCCTGTAATCCTAGCACTCTGGGAGGCCGAGGCAGGCAGATTTCTCACGGTCAGGAGTTCGAAACCAGCCTGAGCAAGAGTGAGAACCCGTCTCTACTATAAGTAGAAAGAAATTAATTGGCCAACTAAAATATATATAGAAAAAAAATTAGCCAGGCATGGTGACACATGCCTGTAGTCCCAGCTACTTGAGAGGCTGAGGCAGTAGGATTGCTTGAGCCCAGGAGTTTGGGGTTGCTGTGAGCTGGGCTGACACTATGGCATTTACTGGGCAACAAAGCAAGACTCTGTCTCAAAAAAAAATTTAAAAAAAAAAAATGATGGTTAACTGGGACCAGGATGAACTAGAGAGAAGTGAGTGCATTGGAAAGATACTTAGGAGATAAAGTCCCCAGAGCTTGGTGATGGACTGGGTATGGGGAAGGTATGTCAAAGACGACTCCTGGTTTTCTGGCCTCCTAGCTGGGTAGAGCAGACAGGAAGGGTGAAAATCATGAGTTCAGTCTAAATTCTCTTTGAAATGTTCAAGAAGAGATGTCACAAAAGTGGTTGGATATTACAAGTGTGGACTAGGGATGTGTTCTCACATGGAGATATAAATTTGAGTTGTCAGCATATGGTTAGTTGGCCACTGAAGTCCTGAGTATAAATTGTATCTCCTATAAAAAGAGTGAAGAGCGAGGAGAGGTCCTGAATCTAGAATAATTTCAACATTGAACAGCTGGGTAGAAAAGGGGAAGGAGCAAAAGAGATTATGAAGGAACAGCTAGAGAAATAGGAAGAAAATGGAAGAGTATTGTATTGTAAAGCCAAGACTTCATGCCAAATGCTGCTGAGACATGAAGTAAGATGAGAACTGTTTGGTTTTGTGTGGATGCAGACCAGGAACTTCAGCAAGTGAGAGCTGTTTCAGAGAAGACATGGGTGAGATGTAGATGGCGCTAATGGCAACTGCAAGGAGAGACTCAGAAATCTGTCTGTGATGTGGAAGAGGGGGCTTCGGGGGAGGGGAGAAAAGACTTTTTTTTTTTTTAATGTGAGAATCTCTAGCACATCTACAAGGAATTCTTGATAGTATAAGGTTCCTGAAAAGGTCTGAGTGGCTGGGAGTACTGAGCACGAGTAGAGGGTTGGCTGAAGGTTGGTGGATCAAAGGTAAATTAACCTAAAGTCCTGTCAGAGTTATCGTGAATATGGAATTAGTGATGGTCAAATTTCTGCAGATTTACTGTTTCTAGAAAATTAATAGAATTTTTTAAAGCTTTGCTTACTTGGTCTTCTTTGTTGTTTTTGAGATCCCCACATATCTATTAATGGGAGTCAGGATGGATGTAGCAACAAAATCTGTAGATACTCATAGAAGCAAAGGGGACCTATTTTCTCTTGAGATTTTTATATTATCATTAGATTAGTTAGATACCATCAAAAAGTACTCTTAAATAAATATATTTTTCTAAATCAAAATGCAGTGTTTTTACTGTCATTCATAAATACCAAATGCAACCTATTCCTATAATTGACTTACCTTAATTTTGGTATTTGCATATTTTTGGACATGCATATGGACAAATATATTATTGTTTTAAATGATAGTGAAATTAATACCATATGTTGACATTTTATGTTGCGTGTTTTTTGCCTATAATAAAATAGAGTCAGCCAGGCATGGTGGCTCACGCCTATAATCCTAGCACTCTGGGAGGCCGAGGCAGGCGGATCGCTCAAGGTCAGGAGTTCGAAACCAGCCTGAGCAAGAGTGAGACCCAGTCCCTACTAAAAAAATAGAAAGAAATTAATTGGCCAACTAAAAATATATAGAAAAAATTAGCCGGGCATGGTGGCACATGCCTGTAGTCCCAGCTACTCGGGAGGCTGAGGCAGGAGGATCGCTTGAGCCTAGGAGTTTGAGGTTGCTGTGAGGTAGGCTGACACCACAGCATTCTAGCCCCGGCAACAGAGTGAGATTCTGTCTCAAAAATAAATAAATAAATAAATAAAGTAGAGTTGTTTAGTAAACTAAAGAATAAGGATTCATTCATTTGCTCTATAAGTATTTATTGAATGCCTGTTATATGCCAGGTGCTGTTACACATGCTGGGAATATAACAGACTAAAGTCCCTGCCCTCTTGAAGCTTCTATTCTCTTGTGTTCGAAAACAAAATCAAAACACAGCTTCTGCCATGAGTAAATTACTTTAAAATACTCTGCTTCATTCAAGGAAAGGAAAATGTCATGTACACTATATAGACTGTAGAAACTATTCCTCCAGTCAGGTACAGGCTTGGTTTCACAGGGTCTCTGATGCTTGGTAATTCATATAGGGTCTAGTTTCAAATTCAAGGTTACTTCCTCATAATTTTTTATTTATTCCATTGTTTTGCCTAATCCAGGATGTTTAGTATCCACCACAAAACCAACTGCAACTCCTATCGTCAAAGGAGTTTAAAATTCAACATTTTGGGGGCTGTTCCTGGGGTTGAACATGCTGGCAGAAAATTTATTTCCTTTTCTTTCTTTAAGTCTTTTTTTAAATTTCAGCATAATATGGGGGTACAAATGTTAAGGTTACATACATTGCTATTGTCTTCCCTCCCCCCTCGAGTCAGAGCTTCAGGCGTATCCATGCCCCCGACAATACATGATGCACTTATAATGTATATATAAACCCATCCCCGCCTTTCGTTAAGTCTTAAGCTCTCATGGCATAAATTTGATAGTTTCATAAAAACAATTTTTTTATCTTTTAGTAGAAATAGGAAAAACAGCCATTACCTGTTTTGACGAAATTCAGGAGGAAAACTTTTATTTCAATATAATCAATAGCAATGAAACTCAAGCTTTCTGTGAAAAGTAATAAAATTACAAGCTAAAAAGGGGTACTCATGTCACTGAAATCAGACCTGTCCATGAGAAAGGGATTTCCCTGTAGGTTTGGCTTTTTGGGTCAGTCAGAACACTCTGCCTCGCCGCTTGTACTTGAGAGCCCAGCGTCTTGCCACTCAAAAGTGTGGCCGGTAGACAGCATTGCCTGGGAGTTTGTTGGAATTGCAGAAGCTTGTGTCCCACCCCTACCTCCTCAATTAGATTCTGCGTATTAATAAGAGCCATAAGAGCAAAGGTGTTGTGGATGCCCCTGCAGTTTGAGAAGCCCCCGGCTGAGGCAGGGCAAACTACAGCCTGTGGGCAAAGCCAGCTGGGACCTGCTTTTGTACAGTCAGGGAGATAAGAGTAGTTTTCACTTTTTTTTTTTTTTTTTAAGAGACAGGGTCTCATTCTGTCCCCCATGCTGGAGTATAGTGTGACATGATCATAGCTCACTGTTAACTCTGAACTCCTGGGCTCAAGGGATCCTGCTGCCTCAGCCTCTTGAGTAGCTGGGACTACCGGTACATACCACCTTGTTTGCCCAGCTAATTTTTAAATTTTATTTATTGTAGAGATGAGGTCTTGCTATGTTACTCAGGCTGATCTTGAACTCCTGGGCTCAAGTGATCTTCTTGCCTGGGCCTCCCAGTGTGCTGGGATTACAGGCGTGAGCCACCATGCCTGGCCTGACTCTGTTTTATAAATGAAATACTGATGAACTAAAGAGTTTTTCATCTGGGATAAACTCCTTATTGTTTCCTCATCATTTTAATTTTTTTAGGAAATAAAAGGTACACTCTACTACTCAGCATGTTTTCTCTTGTGCTAGTGCTGTTAAATGGTTAAATGAATTAAGCTTTATCCCCCTCAACGCAGCATGACTGTTCTAATCTTGATCTGAGAATTTGAAACTCCAGTACTTCTTGCTTATGTAGGTGGAAACCTGCTGGTCTTGGTGGATCAACATGCCGCGCACGAGCGTGTCCGCTTGGAGCAGCTCATCATCGGTAAGGATCAGTTTGCCACCAGAAAAGGTTCTCGACGCCCCAGCCGATTAGCATAGCTGAAAGAGTTTTTCTAACTGTGGCTGTTGTGAGGAAGCACAAATTCACTGTATGTTTAAAAAATTAAGCTGGGCCGGGCGTGGTGGCTCACGCCTGTAATCCTACCACTCTGGGATGCCTAGGCCAGAGGATCGCTCCAGGTCAGGAGTTCAAAACCAGCCTGAGCAAGAGTGAGACTTCTGTCTCTACTGTAAATAGAAAGAAATTAATTGGCCGACTAATATATATAGAAAAAATTAGCCGGGCATGGTGGCGCATGCCTGTAGTCCCAGCTACGTGGGAGGCTGAGGCAGGAGGATCGCTTGAGCCCAGGAGTTTGAGGTTGCTGTAAGCTAGGCTGGCGCCACAGCACTCACTCTAGCCTGGGCAACAAAGCGGGACTCTGTCTCAAAAAAATAAAATAAAATAAAATAAAAAAGCAAAAAATTAAGCTGAAGTCTTCTGGTTCAGCCTCTGTTATAACTGAAAGAATATAGTAGTTTCAAACATGTGTGTCTTGTCTACATGGCCAAAGGCATGTTTTCTGTGTATTTACTATCGCTCTCCAGACATACCTGAGGATGGGCTGCTTTATTCTGACAAACCTCCGCCTATTTGTGTGCCCGTGTCATCTGGGCGTGCCTTCGTCACAGCTCATCATGCAGAGGCCACCAGTAGCTCAGAAGGCCCAGAATACCGCTTTGAGTTTAAAATTTAATTTGTCTTTGAATAAGTAGTATAATCAAATAGATCCAATTCTGAAAGGTACAAAAGGGAATACAATAGGGTCTCCTGTAAACCCTTGTCCCTCATCCCACCTAGTCTCTCTCCCTGGAGGCAACCAGTATCACTAATTTTTTACATATCTTTCTAAAATCAATATATGTTTTTTAATTTTAAAAAATTATTTAAAATTATTATGGGTACATAATAGTTACATATATTTATGGAGTACATGTGATGTTTTGATACTGGCATACAATGTGTACTAATCAAATCAGAGTAACTGGGACATCCATCACCACAAGCATTTATCGCTTATTTGTGTTAGGAAGCTTTTTCATTTTTGCTGCCCATTTTTCTCATTGTGAGGCAGTGTGCTCACCAAGTGATAAAATACCAGGAAAATCTTTACTCCTGTGGTCAAGTAATGAAAAACATCAAATGCCAAAATGTTAGGCAAGGACCTCGAGTGATATTTCATGGATTAGCATGGCAATGACATTACTACCGTTTTCACTTTCCCTTATAAAATGAAGGCCTAGGCTGAGCGTGGTGGCTCATGCCTGTGATCCTAGCACTCTGGGAGGCCGAGGAGGCGGATCGCTCAAGGTCAAGAGTTTGAAATCAGCCTGAGCAAGATCGAGACCCCATCTCTACCAAAAATGGAAAGATATTAATTGGCAAACTAAAAATATATAGAAAAAATTAGCCGGGCATGGTAGCGCATGCCTGTAGTCCCAGCTACTCGGGAGGCTGAGGCAGTAGGATTGCTTGAGCCCAGCAGTTTGAGGTTGCTGTGAGCCAGGCTGATGCCACGGAACTTTAGCCCGGGCAACAGAGTGAGAGTCTGTCTCAAAAAAGAAAAAAAAGAAGGCCTAAGAGTTGGGAAAGATACAGTAAAAACAGTGTTAGAAAAACTTACTTGCTACAGAAATAATACCAATTCTCTTCAGAGACGGGGAAGCCCTTCTGAAGGAATGGGGAGCCTTCTGGAGCCAGAAGATGGTGGAGTAGACCCTTGTCCGTCCCCAGCCATCCACATTATCCTCCTCTGTCCTTGAAACCGCACTTATTAACTATAGGAACATTGAAGTGCTCACTTGAGTATAAGATTTCATTCTTATATTTCTTATTTTGGAAAATAGTACTAAAATTGGTAAGCAGGCTAAATATTTACTAGTTTGATATTAAAAGTGGAAATCCAAATTCTAAAACTAAACAGCGAGCACACTACCGTGCACTGGAAGAGTTAAATCACAGCTGTGCCTTAGCATGCTGTGTTTTTTATCTGAATCTAGAAGACTTCCCTTCCTATTCTTACCCACTCATCCTCCCAACAGATTCCTATGAGAAGCAACAGCCACAAGGCACTGCTCGGAAAAAATTACTGTCTTCCACTCTCATTCCTCCACTGGAGATAACAGTGACAGAGGAACAAAGGAGACTCTTACGGTTAGTACCACCATGAAGATGTGACGATGATGGTAAAAATTCTCACAGTAATCCTGTGAGGCATAAGCATAACTGTCGGTCCATTTTCAGATGAGGAAACTGAGACCAAGAGAGGTCAGATGAATTTTCATGACATGTTTTAAGCGGCGGAGCAGGCACTCAAAGGCAGGGCTTCTGACTCCAAATGCTGTTCTTTCCACTGTATCACAGCTGTTGAGTATAGCGTAGAGTTTCCCTGATAATTTTTTCCAGCAGTTGGCTTAGAACACCCTTTTTATTTCTTGGAACAGTCTGTGTTTGTGCTGTGCTGTTTCTGAAAGCAAAGTTACTGCAGTAATTGCTTCCATTCTGCTTTGTCTGGGTGCATTCTAGATTCTTAGTTTGCATTACCATAATCATCTAGGGCGGACAGTAAAACACTGGGATGCAAGGAAGGGGCAAATCATATAGTGAGTCACAAGATAGGATGCTTTCCCTGTTCTGGGCAACACAAATTATTGAAAATGAAAAAGAGAATTGTCTCTCAGTTTATTTCAGGTTTGAGAATATGCTACTACCAATAAATATCTTTCCCTGGGGCATAATTTATATTAGAGGCAGATCCATTTATTTACGTCCCGTTAATCAGGACTTCTCAGTTCCTGGGGCTGTTAATTACCTCCCTGCTTTAATGCTGATTCAAAACACTCTCAGACCTTTTCTTTGTGCCAGACTCCTTTAAGTGCCAGCAAGAAGAAGTTGGCAGTTCCCCAGTAAAGGACAAAAACTTAGGAACAAGACTTAGACACAAATTGATTCTGTCCATGGAAAAGAGAAGAAGGTTCCGTAATTCAAAAAGAAAATGTGATAAGAAAATCCCAAACAAACACATGCAAGTGTGAGAAAAACAACACAACTTCTAAAGCCTGTGGCAGCTTTGGAGAAACTATGAAGTAGTATTTGGAGCCAGTACTGAAATGTGACTTTTACATTTGAGGTTATCTCTTTAGGTGTTACCACAAAAACCTGGAAGATCTGGGCCTTGAATTGATATTTCCAGACACTAGTGATTCTTTGGTCCTTGTGGGGAAAGTACCACTCTGTTTTGTAGAAAGAGAAGCCAATGAACTTCGAAGAGGAAGATCTACCGTGACCAAGAGTATTGTGGAGGTAAGACATCCGTTAGATGTTGAGTATGTTGCCGAGTGACGATAACCTCTTATTTTGTCTTGAGATTCTCTGTTTATCTTTTCTTCAGCAGGCATTCGTGGTGTTTACCTGCTGCGTTTCTAGGGGCTAGAAATTTAAAGAATAATCAGCTCAAGATAAGGAAGAAGGAGTTTAAATAATTATAGTGCAGTGAGATTTGGCTAGCAGAGTTATGTTCACAAGTATAATAGAAATACTATGCCTGGGGAGGTGGAGGTTAAGGAAATTCACAGAAAAAATGTTTTCTTAAGAAAAGTCTTATAGAATGGTGGGAATCTGCCAAGGATAGAATTGGGAAGAAGGGCATTCTTGACAGAGAAAACAGATCAGAGACTTAAAGCAGATCCCATGTTTAGGGAGCTATTGATGAATACAGGGCTGGATGTGGTCACTCATACCTGTAATCCTAGTACTCTGGGAGACCAAGGCAGGAAGATCACTTGAGGTCAGGAGTTCAAGACCAGCCTGTGCAAGAGCGAGACCTCATCTCTACTAAAAATATAAAAATTAGCTGGGTGTTGTAGTGTGTGGACATGTAGTCCCAGCTATTTGGAAGGCTGAGGCAGGAGGATTGCTTGAGCCCAGGAGTTTGAGGTGGCTGTGAGCTAGGCTGATGTCATGGCATGGACATGGCAACAGAGTAAAACTCTGGGCAATGGAGTGAAACTCTCTCTCAAAAAAAAATAAACACATTGAATGTGCCTTCAGGTGGGAATGTCCAGTGGATAGGCAACTTACAGATCTAGCACTTGGAAAAGAAATCTGGGCTGCAGGGATCTATTGAGAGTTGAGAGTACATATATTTTGATAATATCAGAAGCTGGAGCAGGGCCAGAGGAAGTGAGATTGTCCAGGAGAAAACAAAGAGTAAAAAGGAAGAGAGCACAGGACAGTGGCCATGGATGTTGGAATCCACTAAGGAGCATGGAACAAGTCACCTGCCAAAAAAATAAATAAATAAAAGGAAAAAAGAAAAGAAAGAGAGCAGAGGGTGGAACTCGTGGAACACCAGCCTTCAGGGTGCATATGTTTTGGCAAAGATCTGGAAAGCTGCTGCTGAGAGGAAACTGTAAGGATGATTGAAAATATTTGCTCAGAGAGGGAGGAGGGAAATCAGGACAGAGTCATGTGGCCACAACCAAGGGAAGTTTTAAGCAAGAAGGGAGTAGTCTACCGTGGCCACGAAGTAGAGCCTGAGAAGTTGGATTTAGCTATCATGAGGGCGGTGGTTATCCTGTGCAGTCACTTCCTGGGGATGAGGTGGGGCAGACAGCAGAGCCCCGTGGGTCAGGAGGCTGCGAAGGGGGAGGAGGGGAAGCTGAGCAGACCTTCAGGAACGAGGCTACTTAGGGAAGAGAGAGAGGGCCATAGCTAAAGGTTAGGGGTGGTTGGGAAGTACGGGCGGGACATGGGGTGAGGGAGGATTTTTGTTTGGTTTAAGATGGAAGAGACCTAAGCATGTTTGTAGGCTAAGGGTGAGAAGACATTCGAGAGGAAGAGGCAGCCGGCAGTGCCAGCTCTTGGCTCACCTTGGTTTGGTATTTTCCAGAACTGCCTTTGGATCCGACAGCCTTTGCTCTGTTTCCAGCAGAGCTCTTTCTTCTCCACAGACTGATTTTCTCAAAGACCCCTGCTCCAAATTGTCCTCAATCCAAATGATAGGATCTGTTAGCGTCTTTTATTGTAATTCAATTCCTAAATATTTAACCAGAAAATTATAAGAAAAACTTTTCCTGAAGGAACTTCAAAGACTACTGTTAAGGAGTTTACTTCAACTTGAAACAAAGCTTAGGGTTCAGAAAATCTTGATTACATTAAGCCAGGCTGATCAGGAGAGATTTTGTTTGATTCTGGAAGAAGTTGGAACAGTTGGTGTTTTGAGGAGATAGCCACATGATCCCAGCAGTTGAAAGATTATTAATACATCATTCTATAAAGTTCTGTCTTCTGGCCTGATGAATGAGCCTTTCTAATATTATTTAAATTATTCAGCATTAATTGAACCATCGAAATATGAAATGACCTCAGAACGAGACCATCTCCCACTTACCAGGCTTACAAACGGAGGTTTTATCATCCTAGATAAACAAGCACAAGAGAGAATACCAGAAAAGTTAGGTTTGATCTCCAGCCACGTTAAGCTTTGTTAGTGGGTTGGGTATTATGAGACATCTTTTTGTTTAGATTTGTTTGGGAAAATATGTGGCTTTTAAAATACATACAATCTAGTATCTACCACGTAGCTCTTGGTGGTGGTAACTGCTCATTTATAAGCATGGCAGACTAGAGCGTATATGGGAGAAGGGAGAGAATTTTCTGATTCTGGTTTAAAAAGAAAATCTTCTGTGTTGTAATCTTGGGAAGCTGATTTATTTCCAGGAATAAAGATATCCTGTGTTTTTTTTAAAAGAAATCATTACATGTACTGTATCTCAAAACAGTTTTTTACCTCTAGAGGTTAAATAAATTGGTAGCATAAAACAGTGTCTGCTTTAAATTTATTTAAAGTTCTTTTATAAATATTAATATCTCAGGGATGTAACTATTGAAAAGATTTACCCCAGGGACAGAGACATGCAAGGGAGGAGAAACTGCTCACAAAATGCCTTGGAAAATAAGCTTTTTGACCTGAAAGGAATTGTCCCAAAAAAGCCTGTGGGAACTGAAGTGCCTACTTGTGTTTATGATATTTAAGCAAGTGTTATACTGAGCACACAGTTGTGTTGATGATTGCTGTGTATTTACTCTCAGTTTGTATGTAACATCACACTTGTTCTGGCTAAGATTTTACATACAAACAGACAACAAGAGGCCTTCCTGATGTTTTGAACCCATTGAATCATCATGGCTACTCTCACGGTTATATAACCTCATTAGAGCATGAACTATCTCTGGAGTAAGTCTCAGTAGCTAAATACATTCTATATTTAATAAGAATTCTATTCAGTTGTCTTGGTATTTCTTATTTAAAGTGCCTTACAATAGATAAATTTGTACACAAGTGCTGTATTGCTGAAACTTCCTCCTTTAGGAGGCATATTTTAATGAAGAAAATTGGGATATTTTGTGAACTGTCAAAGGGCAAACACAGCTTAACTTAGATTAATGCCTGTATTTCCTTTTTGCTTTGTAGGAATTTATTCGAGAACAAGTGGAGGTAAGCTATTCTCTTATTTTGGGGTTTTACACAGAAGTACCACACATAAAAGCTTTCATGGTCCCATTAATAATGTGTTTATGCATTAGCTACTCCAGACCACAGGAGGCATCCAAGGGACATTGCCACTGACTGTCCAGAAGGTGTTGGCTTCCCAAGCCTGCCATGGTAAGACCCTCCACACAGCGGCTATTGAGTGCGTCTGTGTGCTCTGCACTGGCAGAGGTACAGTGATTGCAAAAGGGCAGAAGGCACATTTACTGCTCGCCTCTTGGAGGGTACAATTTAGGTCAAGAAAGTGACCAAAAATGAAGCCTAAAAAATATTTTTATTAATACAAAGCAAAATACCAACACATAAATTAGACTATAATATGACTGACTGATATGAATGGAGGGGTAACTCCCAGAGGAGATACATTTTGAGTGGAGTTTCAAATGAGCCGAGGGACATGGATTCATAGCATGGAATGGGAGTTCACTACAGGGAGAAGAAATGGCCTGTGCAGAGATACAGGGGCAGAAGCAAGTTAGTTACATGAGAAAGAGTCATCAGGGGTTCTTGATTAAGGGAATAAGACACAATATAGAAAATGGTATTATAGGAACTGGCTCTAGGGATCATGACAGCTACAGAATCCCTTGCAGCGATCATTTGACCACAATGGGGTCTCCAACACACTGAGCGCTCTCCCATTTTATCCCTCCCCCTCAGCCTTCTCCTCGCCACTTCCTGTCTTTCCTAGCTTAGTAACCACAGTCCATCCTTAGTCTGTCTCCTGCAGATATCCTAAAGTCCTTTGCCACTTTATGTTATCTTTACCCCTCATGCCTACCCCATCACCGAATTTCGTCTTCCTACCTTCCAAACGTATCTATCTTAAGTCTGTCTGCATCCATCTGTCTCCACTGCCACCCCCCTTGTTCTTGCCATGGTTGAGTCCTTGGGGGCACTTGGTTCCCCACGTCCGTTCTGGCTGCCCTTCAAGCTGTTCTCCAGACAGCTGTTCTCGGCACCCAGAACAATCTTTTTGAAACATCCCTCTGAGCACGTCGTTCTTTCTTCTACCAAAATATGTCAATGATGACCCATTCCTTTTAGGATAAAAATGTTATTTTTTACTATGGCCCACAAGGGTCTTCATAATTTGGCCCCTGACTGCCTGGCCAGTGTCATCTCACATCACTCTCTCCATCCCAGCCCGCCTCTTTGGTCTTGTTCTTCCTGTATGCTATACTTCTGCCAGCCTCAGGGCCTTTGCACCCGCCTTTTCCTCTGCCTGAAATTCCTTTCTTTTTTTTTTTTTTTGAGACAGAGTCACACTGTGTTGCCCAGGCTAGAGTGCCGTGGTGTCCGCCTAGCTCACAGCAACTTCAAACTCCTGGACTCAATCAATCCTCCTGCCTCAGCCTCCCGAGTAGCTGGGACTACAGGCATGCACCACCATGCCCAGCTAATTTTTTTCTATTTCTAGTTGTTTGGCTAATTTCTTTCTATTTCAGTAGAGACAGGTCTCGGCTCTGCTCAGGCTGGTCTCGAACTCCTGAGCTCCCACCTCAGCCTCCCAAAGTGCTAGGATTATAGGCAGGAGCCACCACACCCGGCCTGAAATTCCTTTCTGCTTCTTCAGTTATTAATAGCTGTGTCTTTCTTAACCTAAGGTCTTAGCTTAAATATCATTTTGCCAGGAAAGCCTTCCCTGATCTCCTAAAATGGGTTTGGTATTTCTATTATGTAGTCATATCTTATATTTTATATTACTTATATTTATAATTTAAATTATTGTATAATTACTTGTTTCTTGTTTGTCTCACTTATTAGACCACAAGCACCATGGGGGGGAGAGCATCTGTCTCATTCACTGCCTGGCAAAGCTCCTAACACAAAGTCTATACTTAATGAATATTTGTTGACTGGGTGAATTAATATATGCATAGAGGCAGGTTCTAACAATGTCAGAATTTAGATTATGAAGATTATTATGGGAACTAGAAAAAAGGAGGCAGGTCAAATGGACATTCTAAGGAGACAATCAGAGATTGCTATTGGACAATCCGTGGACAAAAGATAACCTCAACTTCGCAAACCCATAAGGAATAGGTAAAAATATTCCTCTTGTCTCTTCAAGAAAAGCCCTGAAAGCAAGACCCTAACAAGTTAAGGAATGCCTCCTACAGGCATTAGAAAGGTAATTACTCCATAAGGAAAAGCTGAGAGACAGAAAATCAGTCCTGAAGCCTTAGTTTCATCCATGGCCGTAAGCACCAATTTCAAGCAGTCTTAAAGCCACATTAGAGAAGCCTAAAAAACATGTTCCTTTTTCCAGAGATTTGGCTCTGAACCAGAGTCAGCATAGGTTTTCCACCATATATACCATAACCTTCTTGTTTCTCTCTTTCATTGAGGGGCCATTAAGTTTAACGATGGCCTGAGCCTGGAGGAGAGCTGTCGCCTTATTGAAGCTCTGTCCTGGTGCCAGCTCCCGTTCCAGTGTGCTCATGGGAGACCTTCCATGCTGCCGTTGGCTGATATAGACCACTTGGAGCAGGAAAAACAGGTACATTAGTGACCAACAGGAGCAAAGGGGGACAAAGTTGATCTTTCTTTTCCAGCTCCTACTATCCAAATGTAATGTGTCTTAATCCTTTCCAAAGTATGAGTTTTGAAAAATATGCATTGGAAGTTTCATATAAAGCCTCGCCCATTTCATCTTCAGCTCAAATTCAAAATGGAGCTTAGACTGAACCATCAGATTATCCACATAATGGCTTTGTGTTTTTAAGCTTAACACATGTACAGACTTATGTATCCTAAATGTCTGTTGCCTGCTAGCTCTAGGTGTGGTGAGAGGTGGTTATTCATGAGACCACTAAAAGCTGGTAGAAACACAGCAAATTCACTGTTGTCAAAACATAGCTTAAACATCCAGTTTCTTGACAGTATACTGCTGGAAATGGTGACCTGTGACCGTAGCTAGCCATCTCCAAGGATCTCTTGAGTTGTGGTTTTAGGACACCAGGCAGGGAACCAAGCTTAGGAGAGCCACACATCATGCTCTGGCCCTGATTACTCAGCAGCCCACAGACAGCGATGTGGATAATGCGATAAAAGCACAGAGTGGTTTAAATTAAGAGCATTTTCTGTCCATGTTATAATCTTTTTTTTTTTTTAAGAGGGGAAGTAAGGAGGGAAGGTTCCTTTTTCCTGAGATAGTCTCACTCTGTCACCCTGGGCAGAGTGCAGTAGTATCAGCCTAGCTCACAACAACCTCAAACTCCTGGACTCAAGCAGTCGTCCTGCCTCAGCCTCCCGAGTAGCTGCGACTACAGGCTCACACCATGTCACCTGGCTAATTGTTTTCTGTTTTTACTAGAGATGGGGTCTCACTCTTGCTCAGGCTGGTCTTCTTTTTTTTTTTTTTTTTGAGACAGAGTCTCACTTTGTTGCCCAGGCTAGAGTGTATACCATGATGTCAGCCTAGCTCACAGCAACCTCAAACTCCTGGGCTCAAGCGATCCTACTGTCTTAGCCTCCTGACTAGCTGGGACTACAGGCATGTGCCACCATGCCCAGCTAATTTTTTCTATATATTTTTAGTTAGCCAATTAATTTCTTTCTATTTTAGTAGAGTCGGGATCTCACTCTTGCTCAGCTGGTTTCGAACTCCTGACCTTGAGCGATCTGGCTGCCTCGACTCCAGATGCTAGGGATTACAGGCGTGAGCCACCATGCCCAGCCTCAGGCTGGTCTTGAACTCCTGAGCTCAAGCTATCCTCCTGCCTGGGCCTCCCAGAGTGCCAGGATTATAGGTGTGAGCCACCGCACCTGGCCCATGTTACAATCTTAAATGAGAGAGAACATGAAGAGCATAATAGGAATGTCCAAGTTGCTCCTTTCCAAAATCCATGCTTTTGCTTACATTTCCTGATAAGGGATATAAAGTCTCTTCTTGCATGGAGTTTTCAGGTACTAATGTTTTCTGGCTCATCTAGTTGATTTTACTCCATTAAAAACTCTTTGTTGGCCAGCCAAGTGCCTCATGCCTGTAATCCTAGCACTCGGAGGCCAAGGTGGGAGGATCACTCAAAGTGAAAAAAATTAGCTGGACATGATGTCACATGCCTGTAGTCCCAACTACTCAGGAGGCTGAGGCAGGAGGATCACTTGAGCCTAGGAGTTTGAGGTTGCTGTGAGCTAGGCTGACACTACGGCACTCTAGCCAGGGCAACAGAGTGAGACTCTGTCTCAAAAACTAAAAATTCTTTGTTTCTTTAGATTTCGGTTTCTTGAAAGGAAAAAAAAATAAAAAATTCTTTGTTTCATATAACAAAGAAAAAAACCAAGAAAACCTGTCCCCATTGCTGAAGAAATGGGAACCTAGACATAGAGTTCTCAGTCCCACTGATTCTGGAAATATCTATAATCTTTTCTGAATCCAGAAACTAGAAATCTAAACAAATCTGAATAGCTATACTTTGGAAAGATTTGTATGCTACCTGGCCTTTCATATTGCTAATTGAAGTTATTCTTTTTCTCCCCATAGATTAAACCCAATCTTGGTAAACTTCGCAAGATGGTCCAAGCTTGGCATCTCTTTGGAAAAGCAGGATGTGATACAAGGCAGAGCCTGCAGCAGTCCATGCCTCCCTGTGAACCACCGTGAGAATAGAATTACTACAAGGAACCAAAGGGATGTTAACTATATGCCCCCAGAGCAGCAAGGAGGAGCAGGTACTAGCACAACCTTGCCTGAATCAGCCCAGTACACCCAGCAACTTCAGGTCGGCAGGGCCCTTCATGTCAGTCTTTCTTGAGCAGATGATCCTGCTATAGTGGAGTAGCAGATGGAACTTAAGTTTACAGACAGTTCATTCCTTTGCATCCATGGACACAGGAGATTGCCATATAATATCTACCTTTTGCAACATATTTAGCGATAAAATTAAATTATTAATTGTCTGATTGGTTGGTTGGTTTGTAATTGAGGAATATGGCTTTTGTTTTTGTGCAGTGGTTTCCAACATGCAAATTTGCATATATGTAATTTGGGATAGTCTGCATTCCCAGACTGCCCCAGTGGAGGAGTGGGCTTCTCCACTGCTCCCTCCTTTCCCTGTGTCATCCTCACTTCCCTCTGGCACTCCTTCACCTGCTAAGTCTCAGGCTTAAAGTGTTTCTCTGCTCTCAAGGAAAATATTCCCTGAGGTCTTCCATCAGGCCATAGTTAAATTATTTTAGGGGTAAAAACTGTTGATAAAGAGAAACAAAGACAAGGATAGAGTAGAGAAAATTTACAGCCCTGTTCCTGGTTTTTTGTTTTGTTTTCTTGCCTCTTTAAACACTCAGAGACTGATGTTCATATCCCAAACCAGTGAAATGGTGAAAGTACTATGAGCATGTTTTTTACTTTTTTTTTTTTTTTTTTTCCTCTTTAAACACTCAGAGACTGATGTTCATATCCCAAACCAGTGAAATGGTGAAAGTACTATGAGCATGTTTTTTACTTTTTTTTTTTTTTTTTTTTTTTTTAAAAATTTTTAGTT